CCCTCCCTCCCCCCTCTCGCCCCGGAAGTGGCCGTCAGCTGCTACGCCGCATCCCCACCCCACCCTCAATCGGTCCCCTTTCATCCCTCCCTGAGCAGCTGCGTCGGGCGAACGTCAGTTCAGCGGGAGTGATCGAGGGGTAAAGAGTTAGACGTGATAGCGAAGCAGCTCGTGGCAAGACGACGAAGACGACGAAGTGGAGAGGAATTTGCGTTCCCCGTCGAGGGTCAGGACGAGCATGAGGTCCGCGTCGGCGCTGCTCCTGGTAGCAGCTTTCGTCCTTGCCGGTGAGTAGCAGATTTCTCTCGAGCTCTCTCGCTACCACGTCGATCCATTTCTCAGCATATCGAGTTTTCTCGCGCGAGAGGGGCGTCTGAGAGACGATTTTTCTTTTTTCTCCTTCCTCACGAGAGCCTTAGAGCAACTTTCCGCCGGACACATCGCTCGCTCCTCGTCTTCCGCGCACGTATCGATTATTCGATCCGCGTTCGGAACGATCCGCGGCGTCGGACGAAATGCGTTCTCCGAAATGCTGATGGATACGGCTCGTCGACCTGTCGTCGCGCGTGAGACTTTTTAACTGGTAGCTTTCGCGAGGACGGCAACAGAATTGTAGCATTAACAGCCCTCGTCGAAAAATCGTCAGTCGACCGCGCGACGTGCGATCGAATGGGTACCTCGCACCGTCGGACACGAGAGATCGTGTGGTATCAAAGCCGTTCAAAATGGCGAAAGTGCCACTGCAATCTGGTTTGAGGTTTCACCAGTCTATCACTCCTGCGTTCTCCTCCGCGAGACCCTGCGGTTGCTTCCCTTCTCGTGGCAGACGTTCGTGCCGAGAACTCGATTCGACGTGCGCCCGGATTCAGACCGATCGTCAAGACGACAGGTTGCATAAGAGATTAGAGCGTGAAAGCCTCCGGTCGGTCCCGGATGAGTGACGTCACTGCCGTGCCCCGGGCGTCTGAAAACGGCGCGGGTGGGGGCACAACTTTCCCTGTTTGTCGCTCCACCGCGAAGTCGTGCCGCGAGCCCGGGGGACCAACGGGACCCAACCGGCCGTTTCCCATTGTCCTTTTCCACCAGACGGCGAAATCTCGGCTGAAAAATGCCGCTGAAAACTATTATTGAAATATTGATCTCGTATACACACACACACACACACATAGACATAGGCAAGGTCACGAGAAAGATCTCGCGTCTGTTCAGCTCCGCGCGGTTTTCCTCAATCAGCTACGTGGAACGTGCGAGAAACCAGGTTTTCTAAACTGATTACGTCGCGTAGTGTGGTAATCATATACTACTGTAATTGTGGACAGTTATAAGTCCCATAATGACAGTGCTGAGCGAAAGTAAACGAACTTATTTTACGGTCTTTCTTTCATTTAACATCCTTCCTACACGATCTCTCATAAGTCCGAATCTATTCTCGGTTACTCGTCCGATCGAGAACTACCGGGATGAAAATATCGCCGGGGTCGGCGAGTCGGAGGGTGATCGAGCCGGATGGGATCTCCGTGGGCAAAACTTGGCTGTCTCCTTTCCAGAGGGCTCGATTCGCGTGAAGCGTCAAGAGGACAAGAAGGAGGAGAGCTTCGAGAACGAGATCTGCAAGGACAAGGATGCGGGAGAGTGGTTCAGACTGGTCGCCGGCGAGGGCGACAATTGCCGCGACGTGATTCAGTGCACGAGTTCCGGTCTGCAGGCGATCAGATGTCCGGCCGGCTTGTACTTTGACATCGACAAGCAGACTTGCGACTGGAAGGACTCGGTGAACAACTGCAAACTGAAGAACAAAGAGCGGAAGGCCAAGCCCCTGCTCTACACCGAGGAGCCGCTTTGTCAGGATGGCTTCCTCGCCTGCGGGGACGGGTCTTGCATCGAGAGAGGTCTCTTCTGTAACGGCGAGAAAGACTGCACCGACGGCTCCGACGAGAACATTTGCGGTAAGTTGCCGTCGCGAAGTAACGACCGCATTTTGCCGACTCGATCACCGAGAAACGAAAATGTCCTGAAAGTACGGAGAAAGCGAAGATCGCGATACCCTTGAAACCGGTACCTTCGACATTGCAGACATGGACAACGATCCCAACAGAGCCCCACCTTGCGACCCGGCCGTGTGCGTTCTTCCCGACTGCTTCTGCTCGGAGGACGGCACCACGATACCTGGCGATCTACCGGGCAAAGACGTGCCGCAGATGGTGACGATAACCTTCGACGACGCGATCAACAACAATAACATTGGCCTCTACAAGGAGATCTTCAACGGCAAGCGCAAGAACCCGAACGGTTGCGACATCAAGGCCACCTTCTTCGTGTCCCACAAATACACCAACTACTCCGCGGTCCAAGAGATGCACAGGAAGGGCCACGAGATCGCCGTCCATTCTATCTCGTAAGAATCAACTCTGATTAATTCTCGGCACCGCCATTCTCATTCACATACCATTGTTCTCTCTCTCTCTCTCTCTCTCTTTCTCAACGGCTCCGCAGTTTCTCCCGAGCGCAGAGTCCCAGGAAAACAGATGCATGAGTGCAGATTCCTGGCGTGCGTCACGTCATGTCGCTCGCTGCCATAGTTATGATTAATAAAGTTAGAACTGCGTCACTACATAATCTTTACCATGAAAACTTTGGGGTAAGGCACAATGACGACGAGCGCTTCTGGTCGGACGCGACCGTCGACGACTGGGCGAAGGAGATGGCCGGCATGAGAATCATCGCCGAGAAGTTCGCCAATCTGACGGACAACAGCGTGGTGGGTGTGAGAGCGCCGTACTTGCGGGTCGGCGGTAACAATCAGTTCACCATGATGGAGGAACAGGCTTTCCTCTACGACTCCACCATCACCGCGGCCTTGAACAACCCTCCCCTCTGGCCGTACACCATGTACTTCAGGATGCCGCACCGTTGCCACGGGAATCTGCAGCATTGCCCCACCAGGTGAATGTCAGGCCCGATCCTGCGGGAACGTTGCGAACGAACCGTCGCTAGAAAGGAGTTGTAAATGTCGGGACGAATATCCGTTGCAGGTCGCACGCTGTTTGGGAAATGGTGATGAACGAGCTGGACCGACGCGAGGATCCTCAGAACGACGAGTACTTGCCGGGATGCGCGATGGTGGACTCCTGCAGCAACATCCTGACCGGCGACCAGTTCTACAACTTCCTCAACCACAACTTCGACCGTCACTACGAGCAGAACCGTGCGCCCCTCGGTCTTTACTTCCACGCCGCCTGGCTGAAGAACAATCCCGAGTTTTTGGACGCCTTCCTCTACTGGATCGACGAGATCCTGCAGAATCACAGCGACGTCTACTTCGTGACGATGACTCAGGTGATCCAGTGGATCCAGAATCCGCGCACCATCACCGAGTCGAAGAACTTCGAGCCGTGGAGGGAGAAGTGCTCGGTGGAGGGTCCGCCTGCCTGCTGGGTGCCTCACACCTGCAAGCTGACCTCGAAGGAGGTACCTGGAGAGACCATCAATCTCCAGACTTGCGTGCGCTGTCCCAACAATTACCCGTGGGTGAACGATCCGACCGGTGACGGCTTCTTCTAAGTTGCCGATCCTCCTTCTCGTCTAAGTCAAGTCCCTCCTTCTCCTTCCTTCTCGACCCTCCCGATCCTCTCCTTCATCAGACCTCGGCCGGACCTAAATGACGTCGGTCGAAGGCGCGTCGCGAGTTTTCCAACACATCGCCGGATTTCGTCGACCGACGCATCAGCCGAGTACCCTCGAGGCCTTCGAGAGCAACGGAGATTACGGCGACGAGGCACACGGGAGAAGAGAGGGGCAAGGTCGTCGTTGGTCCGTTAGACTCCGGTGACCGCACTAGTTGTCAATATTTCTCCTGTTTTATTGTTGAGAGCGACGTATCTGTGATGATTAGTTTCGTTTGTTCGGTTAGCAGACCGCAGAGTCTAATGGGCTAAGGTCGAACGGTAGCGAAGCCTTCTATCCGCTTCGCGCATGTTTCCCCTGCACAGACGTCTTCCTCTTCGCCCAGAGTCAAAAAGAAGTAGCAAAATTCGGACAGCCACCGGGTTGTTCCTGAGTACTCACGGAAATCGCGACTTTTCTCCGCGCGTGTCTCGTCGTCGACTCGTCCGTTAGTTCAAAGTTCACGTTCATCAGATACCCGATAATCTGTGATAGACACCCGAGTCCTCGAGGCGGCCGCGTTGGTCGACGGCGACGACAACGACGACGATGACGATGACGACGAGAGCCGCGCATTCCACTCGAATCGGCAAATGCGAAGCAAAATGTCGCGCCCCACCCGAACCCAGGAGGAGAAATCGCGGATCCCCTGATGGCGGCCGGCGATCCGCGAGTGTGGGATTCCACGTGTAATATATAACCGTGTCTCCCTCGCTCTTGCATCTCCCATTCCCCGTCCACGCGCGAATCGGCGAGTGCGCCCTCCTCCCGTCCCGATCCACCAAGACCGCCAAATCAATTGTTCCCCGATTCGAGGTGCGCCCTTATTTTTTTTAAGGGTCCGCCGACTCTATATAAATATATAAATTTATATATATATATATAAATGAAAATGAAATATTGTATATGTATATTTGTAAAAGTAAGCGATATTGCCGATGATAGCGTGTTCGACGAACCTTTGAATAAAAGATTCAGAGAAATCTTACACACAAAGGGGCTTCTTTCTTCCACCACCCCCCCCCTCCCTCCTCGCTTCGTGCTTATTCACTACGATCGCTCGCTAATGGGATGGAAAGTAGGGCGCGATTAGGCCCCGCGAACTTGACCGCCATTCTCGGAGGAAAATTCGTTTCTAGGACGCTTAAGAGAGCGAATGAAAGCGCGAGATTGAGATTTATTCGTTCACCGGGATTCGGCGTCTCGCGAGTGGAGCCACTTTCTTTGCTCTCGCGCTATTTATTTTGTACAAACCGTCAGAGTACGTCGAAGAACTGCTCCGACGACAATCGAGAGACGCGACGCAGGAGTGTACTCGCGGGACGCTTTCATGAGCGTTTCCTCAAGGAACGTGGGAGGACTCGGCCGTGTCGCGTCATCGATAACCGCGGTATCGCGAATCAGATTCGGATCAAGGCCGCGAGACGGCCCGGCGAGATACATGGGCGAGCGGGATTTTCAGAGCAATTACGAAACCGGAATGAACTTTCCGTCCTGGTATAAATTGCACGCGGTCTTCGTGTTCGCGCATACCTACCGTACGTATACTTGCGTACGGGCAGGCAGATAGGCAGCGATTGTGCACCGGCCCGAGAAAACGCCGGCTCGCATTCTTCCGCGAGAGAGGGGCGCGGAGGACCACGATTGCGATTCATGAACGAGATTTTTCTCCGACGCTGTATAAGGCGCTGCGCCGCTGCCAGCTCCTCCCCTCTCTCTCTCTAACTCTCTCTCCGCCGGCGTGTTCGCGAGATTTTTAATGAGGTGCCATTAATTCTGGTTAACTCGAAACAGGCTCGCGCCTTTGTAAGCTTCTCGCCGCGGAGAAGCGTTCTACGCCGGCTACTGCGGTAGCAAGGAAATTTCATGCGATACGAAAACGATTTATCGCAATTTCACCGTGGCTAATGGCGTCCGCAACGCCTCGAACGATATTATTAAACTGTCTTAACAACGCGGTAAATCATACTTACCTTCCCTCCCGCTGCTCGCCGGTCGCGATTGATTTCTCCTTCATAATCGAGCGGCACATTAGAGGTATTACGGGCGAAATTCGAGGGGCTGCTCCTCAGAAATTCATCGGTAATTCGCCGCCGTGATGATTAAAAATACGGGGAGACGATCACGTGACGCGCCGGGGAGCTCGTGCGGAATCGCGACGGAGCTGAAACTCATCGTGCGCGTTGCGATGCGGCTCGCGAGCGAAGCTCTTCCCTCCCCTCTTGAGCGGTTCACCAGGTTTACCTTGCCAATTAAGGTGAATTAGCGGCGTTACGCAGATGGCTGCGGGATAAAGTAGGGGAACGCCGCTCCGTCCGGCTTCCGTTTGTCGCGGGGCGAATCGCGGGGGAAAAGAAAGGAACGCGCGCGGCAGCGGCAGAAAAATCGTGCTAACCTCGTGAAATACCAACCGGCCGACGGCGGCGATTGCATTCCGATGCAGCCTCTCTTTCGTCGTCGTGTCGAAGCGTCGTCTTCCATACGCTGACGTAGCCTGACCGTCGGAGGAGGTGATCTCGAGGGATTTCCATTCACGAGAGCGGCGGATTCCTCGAGCACGATCGCGAAGTTAAACGACCTAATGAGCGGCTCGAGTCACTTTTCGCTCACTTTTACGTTACGTTTTATATATATATCGTCGTCGTTATATATATTGCGTGTCCTTTATCGCCGGTTCATCGAGACGGCAATGCACGTCGTCGGGGGAGAATTTCGTCGGATGTCGGAGCGGCGATCGAAACGCAGCGGCGAGTAGCCGGTCCCGAGAGGGGATCTGCACGCGCTTTTACTCGCGGTAAACTCTTCGTTAGATAATTTGCCGGTGTCACGCGAATCGCGCCCACGATGAAATTCCATTAACCGCGGGCGAGCGCGCGATTAAATTTCGCAACGACAGACCGCGGCGTGCAGAAAATAGCACCGTTCGACGACCGGCGCTGGAATCCACCGGCATCTCTGCGTCGAGCATCGGGAGGCATCCGTGAAAGATGATCGTCCTATTAGAGCTTTACGTGCTTGTTAAGGTACGGTTGCAGCCGATAATCAACACGAACAGGCGGAATACATTGTACGTCTGAAGGGAGAAATACGCGTGCGGACGTTACATTCAATCGTTCCTCGTTCGTTGAATACACTGAAAGAACAAAGCGCTGCGTTCAAGTAAACGTTTGTTAAGGAATATCCGAGCAATCGTTTCACTAACACTTTATTCTCTCAGTCAGTTCGAAAAGGTGGTCGCAACGCGTATTTCTCATCAGTTTCGGAACGGGTCTCGTGCCCAACAGGAGAATTTGTTTCTTAGCAATCCTCAGGAGATACATTTTCCTATCGAACACAAGATGCGTTGCGAATTTTTCGTCTCACGTTCTACCGCCAATATCGCTAAATGCTGATGCACGAGTATCGTTGTTCGCGATGTAACGCTATTTAATCGAAATTCATGGCCGGTTTAACGACCAAACACGAGGCACACGACGTCGGGCCTTGGCACAACGGGTGGAACTTCCTTCTCTTCTCTCTTCTGGAGGAGCCGGCGCCAATGAAACGCTCGCAACAACGGCGCTAAACGACAACCTGAAAATCTCGCATAAGCGAAAGTAGAGAAAGCTGCGTAGCTCGCGAAGCCGCGGCAAGGCCGTTGCTGTTTAAAGACGAAACACGCCTAGCGGCGCCATCCGATGTAGGCTGGAATCACGCGCCGAATGTCCGAGTATTATTAATCGCGCGCGCGCGCGCCCACCGGATCGATTATCGGTGGGCGTGATAAAAATTTCACGAGCCCGAACGCGTGGACTATCATTAGGTCCTAAGTTTATCGTGCGCCGATATCAGTTTCGTCAACGGCGTAAACACGCCGCCGCAATTCCTCCGGCGAAATCATTCACCGCTTCCTACGCTCTCTTCGTATCGTGGAAGAAAAAAAGAAAACACACAAATCAAATATCGGTCGGACGTTTCGAATTCCTCCGGAATTCGATTTATTACAATAACGCGCGTTATTGCCGGCCGGCAATTTTCAACGAAGTCGACGTTGATTTTCGACCTCGCGCATTCGAATAATTAAAAAGCGTGGGGAAATTTCTCGGTGAACGAAAACGCGTGCTGGATCGCGCTTCTCTTACTTTACATTATTGACGAGACAGTCGCTCGCCCCAACAAAAATAGCTGTGTAATTTCGGAAGCTGCTGCGGCCAGGTGTACTTCCGGCTGGCGCATAAATGATCCCGGCTAAACAAAGCCGGGTGCCGTTAAGCCGCTTGCAAGTGCGAGGGTCCCGATAATGGAATATTTAATAACCCGCGCCTCGCTGCGAGAGCCGGCCGAAAGAAACTGCGAATCGTGGTGAAATTGTGACTCCCACTAGGTCAGTGGGTGACGGAAGGCGAGTGACGCGGCCAGGTATTTGTCTATCTGTTCGCAGCGACTCCTTTTCAGCCGGCGCAACGCAAGCAGATAAACATCGCGCGCCTCAAAACCGGCGTCATCTCCGCACGCCGTTAATTGAAATTCTCCTTGCGCGCCGAGGTCGGAGACGGGAATGGAGATTTTCTCGCAATGCTCAATTTCACCGGCGATGATAATATCGAGGCGGATGATTTTACAAATAGACTCCGCTTCGCGAAATTCACGGCTCCGCGCGCAATGAGACGACTGAATTGACGAAGCGTGTAGAACAAAGTGCGAAAGCGCCTCCACTTTTGAACGAAGAATCAAAAGTGTCGGACATTGTGCTTCGCTTGATCGGTGAGGCTAACGGTGCCGTATCGATTCGTTGAGATTTTCCTACGAAGAGCTGCTTCTTATTATTGACACAATTAACTTATAACGACGAAGTGTCGCGAGTTAATCACGAGATCATTTTATAGTTGTCGCGGAGACGACCGGACTAAAAAGATTTGCGCCGATTGGGGAGTAAAAAAAAATAAATTCCTTCGAGCCGGATTTGAACCAGCGACCTATGGATGCCTGCCGCTTGAATATTGCTCTAAACCTCTACAGTCCACCGCTCTACCAACTGAGCTATCGAAGGCTTGTAACGACGCTCGCGTAAAGTTCGTAGATACACGTAAGTACCATCGACTCTATTGTTAACGCAATTATTAAAGTAGGATAAAATCGGACATTTCTCGTATCATATAAGATAAGAGGTAGTATAAAATGAAATATTCTCCAAGTTGAAAGTATGAATCAGCGATCTGTGAATTTACACTTCAAAAATGTCAGCTCCAACCCGTCGTTCTGCCAACTGCAAAAAAAAAATATTTATCTTTAAAAATATAAGCGGCATAAAAAATATTAGCGTAACGTTAAATATATTTGTAATAATACTTCCGTAAAAAATGACAAAAAACTCCTTCGAGCCGGATTTGAACCAGCGACCTATGGATGTCTGTTTGAAGATTCCAACCGACTACAGTCCACCGCTCTACCAACTGAGCTATCGAAGGTAACATATATCGTCTCTCTACATAGTAGTCTGGTGGAAGATGATATTTGGGACTAGACAAGATATTAGTTTTACGTGTGACACAAAGAATTTGAAATACGTGTTTGACGCGAAGATCCATGTCTTCGGAAGAAACGTTTCATCGCTCCATTGACGACGCTTTCTCCCTTCCGCCAAAAAGGAATATTAAATATTAAAAGGAGAACAAAAGGTGAAGTTTGTGAAATTTTTCGCGAAGACATATACATATACTGAGTCAAAAAGAAATCAACGATTTACACATAAAGTTTCTTAAATGAATAATTTAACGTTCAAATTAATATATTAACTCATAAAAACTAGATTTTTATAACAGTCGCAGCAAGTTGCAAAAGGAACTCCTTCGAGCCGGATTTGAACCAGCGACCTATGGATTTCTTCTTTCATACGATGACAGCCAACTACAGTCCATCGCTCTACCAACTGAGCTATCGAAGGCATGTAACCGTGTTCTTAGAAAAAATTAATTCATTGAAAGATATCGCAAAGTAACTAAAA